CCACCGCCCCCAGCCGTGTCCAGGACTCCCGGATATGAGCGCGGCCGCCAGGGCAGTGGCCCTGTCCCACCCCGTGCTCCCGCTACAGAGACTGGGGAGGCTGTGCACAGGTGTCCCCGCCTGCCCCACCACGCCCTGGCCAGGGCGGCTGCTGTCACCTTGGCCACCACTGCTAGTGCAGTCATTTGTGCTCGTGTCCCCAGTGTTTACACGTCCTTTGGATGCCAAGATGGCAGCTGGGGTGGGGGGGCTTGATGGGAAACCTGCTGGGGGACCCAAAGCACTTTGGAGAGGGGGGTCTCAGGCCAGGTCCCCAGAGACCTGCTGGGCTCCACATAGCCTCTGATGCCCTCCCCCTCTGCGCTGAGCTGAGGTTCTGGGTGGGCCCCTGCCTGCGTCCCTCCTGGGGCCGCCAGCCTCGTGACCAGTGTTCCTGCCCTCAGAGAGCCCTGGACCTCCACCCGGGCCGACGTGGGTCTTCCCACCCGGGGCAGGTGGGAGGCTGGGGGCTGTGCAGTGTTACTCGTCAGGTGTACTGCCCGGCCCGGTGTATCTGTGTAATTATTTTTGTAAAAGTTGTATTATCTGTGGTTGCCACCCCCTGGCCCCAGCCTCGGGTCCAATCCGTCTTCCAGGCCTGCCCGCACCTCACTGGCTGCTCTGGGGTCTCTGCGCCTCACTGAGCCCTGTCAGGCACAGGTGGCAGAGGCCCGTCACCCAGCAGCCGCCCAAAGCACTTGATTCTGGGGGCCAGGGGTGGGGGCTGCTCAATGGGGGATTGGAGCTCAGAGCTCTGGGGAAGGGGACCCTGCACGACACCCCCTGCCCCCTCCACCAGGCTGAAGGCCCAGTCTTCCTGAACGTGCTGCCCTTGTTCACGTGCCAAATGGCCCCAGCCCGTGTGCCCCACCCCCTCCTTGGCGTCAGAGCTGCTCCTCCCAAGCCCTGCAGTGTCCGTTTGTCTGTCCTCTGTGCCCTCTGTGCAGTGACAGCCCCGGCCGAGCCGCCTCTAATCCTCTGTAGCAATAACGGTGCGCCACCCAGCCCTGCCCATCCGTGCACCACTAGGATTTTAAAGTCCATAGATTTTAATGAAATTTCTATTCCTGTCTCTGAGCTGCTGCTGTGCTTTGTCTGGGTCCCCTGGGGACAAGAGTCAGGGCTGAGATGGGACCTCTGTCTGCTGTGCCTCTGTGGAAGCCCGGGAGGAGAAAGGCCAAAGCTTTGACAGTTGGGACAGAAGCCTGGTCACTCAGCCCAAATCCCAGAGACCTGGTGAGGGGTGGAAGGGCAATGGCTAGACAGACAGCAGCCTTGGGGTCCTGGGAGCCCACCCAAGACCAGATGTGAAGCTGGCTGGGACAGTGGAGAGGTGAGGGCAGCAGGTGGGGCGAGTTCCAGCAGTAGCGAGTCCCCGTGGGGAAAAGCCCCTCAGGTGGGGGCCTGTGATGCCGCACGGGACACTGGTGTGTTAGCCGGCTCCTTCCTGGGGCTGCACTGAAGCTGCCGTCCCCAGCGGCAGGTGGCAGCCTGGCCTCGTGGTCGGGGGCGACGCTCTGAAGGAGGTGCAGGCACGCGGCAGTGTAGAGGTGCGGCCCAGACTGCAGCGGCTCCCCCG